CTAGGGCTAATCATCCAATAGCTGATATAAAAACTTTTCTTAGCTTACATGTGTATTTATTCTATATTTTCAGATCCTAGTTACCCGTGACCGATATGACTATATAGTACATTCAATTCTCTCCTGAAGAACTACTACACAGAACACAATGGGTATACAGTGGTGTGAAAAACTATTTGCCCCTTCCTGATTTTATTCTTTTGCATGTTTGTCACACGAAATGTTTCTGATCATCAAACACATTAAACCATTAGTCAAAGATAACACAAGTAAACACAAAATGCAGTTTTAAAATGATGGTTTTTATTATTTAGGGAGAGAACTAAATCCAAACCTACATTGCCCTGCAGGCCTCACTTGCCTATTGGGGCCAGTGGGGGAGCTGGCTCCCTGGAGGGCTAGGCCAACCAGCCATTCCTCCCCATCCCCACACATTTTTCTCCTCTTGCTCCCTCACATCATCACACAAACATGCACACAGGACCTTGGGGGGTGGACAAGTCAGGGGGTGCGGGTATGGACCCCATTTCTGCATTCCTGTGGCAACCTGCCCCCCAATTTTATTTGCACCTTAAACACTTCCACCAACGACATTCCATGCAAACACACACTTAGGGCCTTGGGAGTGAGCAGACTCAACAGCATTTGGCAAGGGGATCTTTCAGCCTCATCCCAAGTGCCGGTGCCCACTTCCAATTTTAAACTACACTTAGACACAGAGGGCTGTGGGGGGAAGAGGGGTGGTGTGGTGGCATCAGCTGGCGTAGGCCAGACAATGCCTGCATTGCCCGCTCACCACAGCCACGAATACACCTCATCAACACACACCAACATTGTATTGGAGCAGGCGAAGGGAGACTAGGAGTCTTAGCACACCTCTGTTGTCACTTGGCTTCCCAGGGCCGGAGGCTAGGAGGGGGATCTGGTCGCCTGGCTGGGGTCTGGGGTGGCGGGTCGCTTTGAACGGCGTTGAGCGGGGGAGCCTGCTCATCAGCAGTGTTGGGAGTAACGACGTTTAAGTATAACAGCGTTACTAATGGTGTTTTTTTAGGTAACAGAATAATCTAATTAATTACTTTTCCCACTGTTGCAACGCCGTTACCGTTACTGGGGGCGCTACAGCTACCCCTGGATTAGTCATTGCACCCCCATAGCATCGGTTTTTGTTGCCCAAATTTCCACGGGCTCAGCCAGAATCAAATGAATCTTTGGAAGTGATCTCAGACCCACAAAAACCTACGGATCTGGATGAAGAGAGTCAACCCTCAACCGCCGCAGCAGTCGAGGGTTTTGCCGCTGGAAATGCTAACGCTAACTTTAGCTAACCTTGCAACACTATAGATGGTTTTCTGTGTGGCTGTATGTGTTTATGATTTCATGGAAAAGTCAGCGATTGTTCATATGTATATGATGTATATTAATGATTGTTCCAGGTGTTGGTGAGGTGTTGTGCACGCATGTGTATCTGCTAGTGTTGAAGGTGTTTTAGAGAACAATAGGTACGCATGACCACTTCCTTCATAGCACCCTCAATAAAAAGACTAGCTCCTTCATAGCACCTGCAGAAAAACTTTTCTGGAGCCGCCACTGCTGCCTCAGTCACTGCATGCTGTAGACACAACAGAGCAGTGATGGGAATAACACAGTTTAAAGTAACCGCGTTACTAAAAAAATTTTCAGTAACAAGCAAACTAATTAATTACCGTCTTCTTGTATCAAAACGTCGTTTCTGTTACTGACAAGAAAATGTGTGTATTAAGCAGTGCGGTGTCTTGAAGCTGTCATCAGCTGATCAGGAGCTAAAGAGGCAGATGTCTTCATCCAACCGCATCACGGCCTTTAAGAACAAGGAAGACGTGATGAATGGTCTACTGCTGCAGACCCGCAGATTTGCTGCTGCAGGTGTGAATCTGCAGCCGTGTCCTTCTTAGCGTGACAGCAGGACGTCCCGAAGGTCCGCTCACCTGTTTACCGCTCAGACGTCCTGATCTTCTACCTTCCTAGATCATCCAGCTGTAACCTGTTTCTGATCATCTCTTTAGTCCCGCTGTAGCACTGATGCATCAGTCTCAGACGTCATGGAGCTCAGGTGTTATTAGAACTATTTGTGTGTGTTTACCACCCAGCTTCAGCTGTTCTGTGGTTGGGTCTGACCCAAGTTAGTAAATTTAAAGGAGACATAACATGCTTTTAAGTTATTCCTTTTTTACATCTAAATCCTTCATTTGGGGTCTAAATTCAAAAGGAACTGCAGTTCTTTGGTCTGATTTCCTCATTATTGTTGCTCTACAGACCCCTCATCTACCCCTGTTCTGAGGAGTCTTGAGAATGAGCCCGTTTTTGGGTACTGTTTCTTTAAATCTGGAGGAGCTGTAAACTCCTCCCCCTATACAGTTCAGACCTGTACTCTCCTCCCCCAGTCGGACTTTGTAGTTCTATAGAGAAATCATTATTTAGCGTAGCAGAAACGTTATATTAGCATTTTTAAAACATGTGGAGAGAGTTGTTCATCAAGTTGTTTCAAGGCTGCTAACTCTCTCATGCATTTGTCTGTAGTCACACACACACACACACACCCGTCGCGGCCGACGGAGGGACAAGCGAGCAGGCACGCGCACAAACACACACACACACACACAAAGGAATGCTGCTTGCTTATTTATTTCTGTAAAAAAATGATACAGCTCATTAAAATACCATTAAAAGAATATATTTTATTAAGATCGCTCTCTATCAAGTGTTGGCACACTTTAACGACTTAGTCACGCTGCATTTTAGCTGATATGGGACTTTATTTACTGGATGTTAAGATTACATCACACTCACGTAGAATAACACACAGGCTCTCTGCTGCTACAATCAGTGGAAGGTTATCATCTGGTGTAAAAAAAAGGCGTTGATCAGAAATCCCAGATCACGTTTTATTCCACGAAAATCGGCCAAATCCACATTAATCTGGGTGCTAACTTTACTAGCATACTGTGCTAGCGTTAGCAAGTCGGATGCTAATGCTATAGTGCTGTTAATGCCCGTAAATCTAAAGTAAAGTTTGTCGACATTTTAGTGATATGAAGCTTACCGCTTCGCTGCTGTGTTCTGTTGCTGCCACATTCAGATGGAAATTACTCCTTTTAGATAGATGAAGCCCTCGGTACTTAGCCACTAGCCTGGGACAGGGGCACGGACACACACACACACACACACACACACACACACACACACACACACACACACACACACACACACACACACACACACACACACACACACTACTTTTTTCTTCTGTTTATTTTTCTTTAGCAGTAGTGTCATCAGCTCCAGGGTTTTAAATACTGCCACACCACCCTTCCTTAAAACGAGGAACAGTTTTGAGCTGTGTGTGGCTAAAATAACCAGACATTCTGCATTTTTCCAATAGGACTACAAAAACCTTAGCAAGAAGAAAAAACGGCAGATTGGCTCTGTGTTAAGCTGGAGGGCCATGACCATATTTGGTAGTTATCATCATGATGACATAAATTTCTGATGTATTAGGTATTTTGAAAAACTGAACGGGTGGACAAATATGCCCAAAACTTAATTATTCAATATCTAAATAGCAACTCTAGTGAATAATATAAGCCTTTTTGCTCACTTATACTAAAATGTGAAACACACTGTGTTAACGGATAAAAAAGTGGGTTTTTCATGTTATGTCTTCTTTAAGTCCTCCATCAGGCTTGTGCCTCGTCTAGTGTCATTTTAAAGGATTTTTATTCATTTATTTAACCACTACTAGATTAGCAGCAACAGAAATGCTACTAAAAACACTCAATTATGTGAAGCTGGAAAAATTACAATACTGTGCAAAATTACATTTATTTCTGTAATTTAAAGAGCAAGTCACCCCCAAATCAATAATTTTTTTCTGATAAACTATATAAATGTGTGTCTAATCGTGCTACAGACACGTGTAGTCAATAGTTTTGCACTTTAGTGCATGTTAGTTAAATTTTTAATTTTCTGCCTGAAACTGTCAGAGTTGTGCCGTTGTCAGGTAAAAACTCTTCACTGCATTTGAATTTAAATCTGCCACCGCTATTGGCTAAGAGGTATGCTGTGATGTAAACTGGTACATTATGATGTCACAATGTCGTGAGTGTGTGTATTTGTTAGTGGCTCCACCCTCTCGGTCTGCTAGGCAACAGCATTTGTTGCATTTTTCAAACATGAATTGGGAGTGATATGATTCTTGTAAGGGGTGACTTGCTCTTTAACTAGACTGAGAGACCATTTAAAGGCTCAAGAACCCTTACAGGTGTTTCTATTTGCAATTTTTTATTTTAGCTGGTTGGGCTCTTGTTAAATATCACACAATGACCTTTTAATATTAGTGTAATATTCCTGTTAGTAGTTCCTCCTGTTAAGTGCATATTTATTGAAATTATGCAGTTTTATAAAAAAAAAACATTTGGACATTTTATTATGTTCCAGTCATTAGTCATTTATATTTCACTATTATAGTAATTTATACTAAATTAAGTAAGTTCAATTAAGAGGGGAACCCATTTTTCTAGCATTCTTTAATAAAAAAAGTAGTTATTTTTCTTGGTAATTAGCCACTTTTATAATCTCGTAACTCGGTAACTGAGTTACTTTTTTGACAAAGTAATCAGTAACTATAACTAATTACTTTTTTAAAGTAACGTTCCGAGCACTGCTCATCAGCACCCCAGCAGAAAGGGTCGAACTCTGGTAAATAGTACCCTTTGTACAGCAGTACCGGGACTAGAGTGAATAGGGTGTGTATGGGGAGCATGAGTGGGTGTCTAGTGTAGGGTTTAAGAATTTGAGTGCTCAACATGTATTACCTCTACTTATGACCCATAAGCTGGGATACTCTATCTAAATATATAATATCACCCTGCTTGGTCTTTACTATGTTAAACAGAAGATTCTAGGATTCTTTACTTCCCCAAGGGATTGTACACACTTTGTTTTGATTCAGAAAAGAGTCAGGGTTATAAAAGTAAGAATTTATTTTACAAACAAAACATGACAAGTTAACTAACTTTTACTGTGATGGATGGAACAAGATGTGATGTATGAACCTATGTGTGAATGCGATGTTATCAGAACTTCCGTATCTAGAAAAGCTGAGTTCTGGATGTAAAAGAATTTGGTTTGCGTTAAGCTATGAAGCTGATTATTATCAAAAAGCATCAGACGCTATCTGTGTGTCTACTTCACCCATTCTCAGAGACCCTCTTCGTGGATCCGTAGGTCAGAGGTCAGATGACCTCTGGCACCCAGGTCCAGTAGATTGACCACAGCACCGACTTCTCCAGTCCAGAGATGTCTCGGGTCACGACAGATAGATAGAATAGCGCGTCTGGGGGACTCTTAAGGAGTCTAAACAATATCAGCTTGTTCTGCAGGAACTGTTTGCTGTATCAGCTTCGCAGGTGCAAAAAGATTTTGATGACGTGTCAAAAGCTTTGATGGGTTAAAGAGGTCTTGCTTCAAATGGCTGGTCTGAAGCTTTTCTCAAGAACTGATGAATCACCAGAGTGATCCAGTTTTAATGTTCTCATGTTATGATTTGTGTAGCCAACCAGAGGCTGACAAGTTGAGGAATATTACCACGACAACTCAGAAACACGCCTTCTTTGATCCGGATGCTCTGATCTGGGGTAAAGGACTATCTATGTGTCACGCATTTAACTTAACTTTACTTTGTCCTGAATGAGTGCAAATGGTGATGACCTTGTCATGTAAACACGCTGAAACATATTTCAATCAATGTAATCATAGCATAACATTCATTTGAAACTTCAATCATTGAGCACAGATTAATGAAAACATTTCATTATACTATAATTATTTTAAGTAGCAATAAACAAACATTTATTTAATGATTATCTAGCTTATACGTTTTAGAAGTTCATATTTCATATACAAAATCATTCTTTGATTTAGCAACTAATCTGAGCTGCGAGTGTTCCTTATTTAGAGGCATGAAGAGTCCTGTAGGATGATAAGGGAAGCTTGGACCTTGAGGAGAGAACATCATTGTTGACAATTCGTTATCACGTGTTCAAAAAAGGTTTCTGTCCTGTGTGGACTCTCATGTGACTGTTTAAATTTGTTTTATGCTTAAAGCATTTTCCACAGAGTTCACAGGAAAAAGGTTTCTGTCCTGTGTGAACTCTCATGTGACTGTTTAAATTTGTCCTTTGATTAAAGTTTTTTCCACAGTGTTCACAGGCAAAAGGTTTCTGTCCTGTGTGGACTCTCATGTGACTGTTTAAAGTTGCCCTTTGATTAAAGTTTTTTCCACAGAGTTCACAGGCAAAAGGTTTCTGTCCTGTGTGGACTCTCATGTGATTGTTTAAAGTTGCCCTTTGAATAAAGTTTTTTCCACAGAGCTTACAGGAAAAAGGTTTCTGTCCTGTGTGGACTCTCATGTGAGTGTTTAAGACTGACTTACGACTAAAACTTTTTCCACAAAGTTTACATACAAAAGGTTTGTGTCCTGTGTGGACTCTCATGTGAGTGTTTAAATTTGTCCTTTGATTAAAGTTTTTTTCACACAGCTCACAGGCAAAAGGTTTCTGTCCTGTGTGGACACTCATGTGACTGTTTAAAATTGCCCTTTGACTAAAGTTTTTTCCACAGAGTTCACAGGAAAAAGGTTTCTGTCCTGTGTGGACTCTCATGTGAGTGTTTAATGCTGACTTATGACTAAAACTTTTTCCACAAAGTTCACAAACAAACGGTTTCTGTCCTGTGTGGAGTCTCATGTGACTGTTTAAAGTTGCCCTTTGATTAAAGTTTTTTCCACAGAGTTCACAGGAAAAAGGTTTCTGTCCTGTGTGGACTCTCGTGTGAGTGTTTAATGCTGACTTATGACTAAAACTTTTTCCACAAAGTTCACAAACAAAAGGTTTCTGTCCTGTGTGGAGTCTCATGTGACTGTTTAAAGTTGCCCTTTGATTAAAGTTTTTTCCACAGAGTTCACAGGAAAAAGGTTTCTGTCCTGTGTGGACTCTCATGTGAGTGTTTAAATTTGTCCTTTGATTAAAGTTTTTTCCACAGAGTTCACAGGAAAAAGGTTGCTGTCCTGTGTGGACTCTCATGTGAGTGTTTAAAGTTACCCTTTGATTAAAGCTTTTTCCACAGAGTTCACAGGAAAAAGGTTTCTGTCCTGTGTGGAGTCTTATGTGAGTGTTTAAAGTTGCCCTTTGATTAAAGCTTTTTCCACAGAGTTCACAGGAAAAAGGTTTCTGTCCTGTGTGGACTTTCATGTGACTGTTAAAACTTTTACTATGACAAAATATTTTTCCACCGTTATTGCAGTGATTCTCTCCAGTTTCAGGCCCAGAATCTAATAACTCAACGTTTAGATTCACTTCATCTCCACTAACTTCAGTCTCTGAAAAATCAGATATCTGTTCACTGGGGTTCAGAACTGGGTTCCTGATAGATTCTGCGTCTCTACCAGTTTCTGCTGTTGTCTGGTCAGCTGAGCTGCTGGTTGGAGCATCTCTGTCTTCTATTTGCTGCTGATCATCTTCACTTTTTATACAAAATAATGTGAAGGGAAACCTGGTAGGATTAGTTTCCTCTTTCAAATGGAGCTGCTCTCCTTCCGGATTGGTCCAGAGTTCCTCCTGTTGCTCCTTTATGTGGAACTGTTCTGGATCCTGCTGGTCCACACCAGCACTCTGATCTTCAGGAGCTTCTTCTTTAACCATCTGGTGAACATCTTAGGGAAACAGAAACAAATTAATAACCACTGTAACTTTATTTTCCCACATATTAGTAAACTGTTTAATTATTGGTTTAGGTTGGTAAGATCAGAACCAACTCAGAGAACATGAAATAACTTTTGAATTGAGTGACTTTTAGTGATGTGACGTTCACGAACGAATCAAATGTTTTGAACGGATTTTCAAAGTGAATGATGAGAGCCGAGTCCCTGTAGCCTTTCATCTTAACAAACCTCCTCGGAAGTAGGTCAAACTCACCTGCTCAAACCCCACCCACTGCTGTGACGGACGTAGGAGGAATCATAGATATGTATATACGAAGCGTTTCTCCTTTGTCTTTTCAAAATGACTCATTTTCACAGAAAGCAGCTCAGACACAGCTCTTACCTTTTAGTCTGCTACATCTGACCAGACAAGCTGCCTTTATTCAACTACAACAAGGTAAAGGTGGCTTTACATTGTACTGCCCCTTTAATTTTTCCTTATGTTTGTGCAGCACTGAAGTCTGTCTGCAGAGACCATCTGTACAGTTAAGGTAGCTGCACACTGCTGACCTTGATGCTTAATTCCAATTTTTGAATAAATCAGATTTTTTTGTGTGGTTGGTCACATTATAACTGAAATGCAACAGCAAACACTCTCGTGCGGAGGCCTAGCTGCTGGAAGCAACGGAACAACGCCATCTGATTTGCTCAGCGTACTCCAGAGGGACGTCTCGTTTGTTCGATCGTTCAAAGTTTTTCTCTCTCTTTCTCTCTCGATTCTCGTATAGTACCGAACAAGCTGTCGACCGCGCGACCGCTTCAAATTAACAGACGGTTTCTCTTTTCCATACCAAAACGCTATTGGACATCTAAAAGTAAGCCGTTTTGTTTTTTTATTGTTAAAATCTGAGTTTGTTCACGCTGTGGCCAGGCTGACAGACTGCTTAGATATTTCATTTGCCTTTGATTGATTTGTTTTGTTTCTTGATCTTTGTGAAGCGGTTTTGAAGTGTTTTTGATTGAGACTGTGAAAGCTTGCCACTTTGACGTCTGCTTACACTCACTGTTTGACGTTGGGAAAGATAAACACACACACCCATGCGGTTTGTTGTTCAGCCAAACGAAGGATCCGCCATTTTAGTTTTTCCAAAACTCCCTCCATTTTGGGTAACCAACCTATCACTGCTGATTACGTCATTTCACCCACCTACCGGATCAGATTGTTATTTCACATTATCATTCCATTGTTTCATTGCTTGTTATTCGTTTGATAAAATAAGTTGGTTGATGTTGATTGGCTAAACGCTTTGGGAGGAGCTGAAGTGGTCATATTAGTTAATAAATGTTATTGCCAATTAAGTTTTGTCTCAGGTGATTTGTTTGTGTGGTATAAATACAACTGCTGCTCGTGAAAAGAATTTTATGAACTTCAGTCGGATTGATAAGAGGTTTGGATTCATTTTTCCCCTATAGAGCTCCGGACCCCACGTAACTCTCAGTTAGTAGACGCTATTTTGGCAGGAAAAAAAGGTAAACAAACACGGACGTAACCATGAACGTGAACGGGATCCGCTTGGATTTTACCTCGTCGGAGTTTACTTCACACTTTAAAACCGAAGAAATCGTTTTATATAGTCAGAAATTAAATAGAGTAAACATCTCCGACCACCATGCCCCTGGGATACTTTTTAAAATTGCCAGAAGCTGTCGGAGCGGACTTCTTACTGGACCTGGCCGGGGAACCCCTTGGGATTTACCCGGAGGAGCTGGCTCCAACGGCTGGGGAGAGGGAAGTCGGGACCGCCCCCGCAACCCGACTCCGGATAAGCGGATGAAAATGGATGGATGGATGGACAAATAGCAGATTTACATGTAAGTAGTTTAAATAGAGTGCTGTGCTGTTTGAATGTACAAACTGAACGCCAAGAGAAATCACTAGTTTGATTGTTTTCCATGAATAAAATAAATATGTCAGGCAGGAGCGTCTCAGGATCTGTCTGAGATCTGTCTCGGTGAGACAGATAATAGCAATCCAAAGTGCTTTTTATGTGTGATCTGACAATTGATCAACCATTGCTTAAAAATTAAATACAGCTTAGCCGGTTAATTGCTGTGATCATAAAACACGTAAACGGCAGCACGCAGAACTCACGAGGCACCGTTTTAAGTGACGTTTACTTGCTGCTATGAGTAATAAGACAGAAAAAGCCCCGCCAAAATAAGTTTAGGAAGCCCACTAAGAATCGTAATAAAAGCATTTAAAATAAATACCATACACAGTTGAGGAAACGTTGGTTTAAGTACCTGATATGAAGCGGTCGCTGCATAAGCGAAAACCTTTACTCCCGGGACCCCACAGCTTCATTTTAGCCCGGTCACTAGCGCGTTTTACTACAATGATCCAACGTTTGCGGCGCTCCGGATCTTGGGGAATCCTGTAGATGGCTCATTCCTTATGTCGTCCGTGTCTGTTCTGCATCCTGGGGCACAACAGGAATCTACCATATTTCCCGTTTGAGTTTTCTGACAATAACAAATAGTCCAGCTGCCGGCTTCTGCCTGCCAAATGGCGCTGTTTCGATTTGAACTGTTGCATGCCGGGAGAAGTGACGTCAACTCCCGGAGCTCTATAAGAGGGGTGGTGCCCCAAGACATATCCACGGATATCCTAATTACGTAATAAATCGGTAAATATTTCTATATTTACGAATTTATTGATGAATCCAAAAAGTAAGTAAAGCTTACAAATTATTTGTTGGCTAATAATCACAACACCATTAATTAATTAAACATGAATTAAACGAAGCCTCGAGGCAGAGAATTTGACTCGAGGATTTTTTGTACTCGAAGTATTCGAGGTACTCGAGTAGGGCTGCAGCTATCGAATATTTTTGTAATCGAGTACTCTATCGAATCTTTTTTTCGATTAATCGAGTACTCTAATAAATTACCCTTTTGTGTTTGTAAACCTTTATATCATATATTGATGAGCCAAGATGGCGCCGAGTATGGCTGCCTCGTCGCGAGCTCCACCAAGTTCCAACATTACACACTCCATACTGTACATTAATGCCACTGTTTTGCACATACCAACCTCCGTACATTTTATATCTCTTATCTTATTGTTTACTTTATTCATTTGTATACTTAGATTAGCCATTTTTATATTTTACTTGTTTTTACATTACTGTATTTTTGCACAACTCTGTTGCTGTGAAGCTCGCACACAAGAATTTCACTCGCATGTACTGTACCAGTGTACCTGCACATGTGACGTGACAATAAAAGTGATTTGATATCAAATAGCATGTTATAATTATGAAAGACCTCTTAAAATGAGAAAGCAATTGCCAGTTATTCTTCAAGTTTTATTCAAAATTAGTTTGCAAAACTTCAGCACTTCAACTTTACTTCACAGTAAACAAATGCCTGTGCAAAAAATAAGTAAACAACCTGAGCTGATTTTCCCCTCGTGCGAGAATCTGCTAACCTGCAAGCCAGACAAAAACTAGGAGAATAACGCTGCGAGCGGCTGCGGCCCAAACAGAACCAGAACCGCTCACGGCGCAAACAGCTCGCCCCTGTTTCCCTATTAACACACGTCCGTTTTAATTTCCACACTTTTTTTCTCACACTAACAAGGATTGCCAAAAGCATGTTTGCTGTGGTTTTGTCAAATTATACTGATCACAAAACATGTATTTACTTTCTTTCGTTTTCCTCCGCCACTCATAAATACCTGCGTCCTCCTGCAGAAACCCCGAGGGACAACAGACATCAATAACACAATAAAAAATCCGACGTGTTGTGTAAAAACTGCTATTTTTAGCACATTTTAAGTCCGATGTGTTGCTACCAGATGTAAGGTGTGAGCTGAAACTGAGTGCTACAAACGAAAAAGTCGCAGAGTCCGCAGAATATATAGAAAAACAGGCTAAAATGCATTCATTATCTTGTAGAGGCTCCGAGTCCGCTTGCAGACGTGACATTTACAGGTGCTGCAGCATGGAGGATGTGGTGTTGTGGTAGGCTAAATCCATTTTACAGTATTTATACTGGACTACGTTTTCTGCCTTACAACGTGAAAAATGGTCCCACAACTTTGACATTTTCTGTCTTTTTCGCCCTACACCGGGGTCCACGTTGTCCGCCATGGCTTAAGAGAAAGTTAAGTTACATTCGCTACTCGCAGTCCAGTGGGTATGTGCGTCACTTATTTCGGTCCGGGTGAAACATGACTCTGGGCGATTGCAAAGCCATGAATTAATTAAATATGAATTAAACGAATCCTCGAGGCAGAGAATTTGACTCGAGGATTTTTTGTACTCGAATTATTCGAGGTACTCGAGGAATCGTTTCAGCTCTATACTCGAGGAATCGTTTCAGCCCTTAAACATCCCAATACAGTTCAGGTCATTAAGCCAATCAGTAAAAAGTTTCCTATATAAGGAACCCAGCAGATTGCATCTAGTCACTGACTTGTTGTATCGGAGTCTTTACAGCAATCTTCATACTAAGTAAGCATGTAACGATCCTGTCACAACACACACACTTACATGTCTTTCTTTCTATCATAGTGAGGACCATCCATTGACTCCCATGTATTGTTGTGACTGTATTATGCCTTAACTAGACTAGTAAGCTTCTTAAAAAAGTGAGGACCCCAAAAAACGTCCTCACATTGTAGATAAAATGGTCCTCGGTATGTAGCAAGAACAAGAACGAACACACACACACACACACACACACACACACACACACACACACACACACACACACACACACCTGTATCCATGCTGTCCAGATCCAGATGGTGAAGTAAACACGATGAATCAGTCCCAGCTGATGGATGATCCTGAAGTGGTAGCAGGTTTTCTTTAGCCGTGTTTAGCTAACAGCTGCAATAGAAACAAAGCAGGAGAGCTGATTAAGATGCTGCTTCAGAACAACTCATGAGATTAAAGACCCAACGCTTTGGTTCTGATCAGCTGAGGACAGATCAAGTCTGGAAAAGAGGACCTTTGGTCACCAGAGTTCACGGAGTAGAGCTAACCGCTTTTTCCTCCAGATTCACATTCAGATTCGGGGCTTTTCCGTCGGAGAGTGTGAGCAGGATGGATCAGAGAGCGAGCAGCGATCCTGCATCATGACCAACTCAGATGAGCGAGTCTGATAGAGGGAACCTCTTCAATCTGATGAAAGCAGCTAAACGAGCGCGTTTCTCAGAGAGGCCAAAGGAACAGCAGCAGACCCAGAGGACAGGAAGTCTAGAGAAAAGCTTTTCTGACCCATCACCTGCTTTTGGAGCTCCGATTGTCACGAAGACCGCAGAATATCGTCTCTGGTTCTGGAAAGAACTCGCACCAATAATAAAGTGTTCACCACCTGGCCCCGCTGAGAATATTTCTGCAGCAGTTATTTAGCTTGGCAAGCCAGACAAAATAAATATTAGTCTGGCAACGTCTCTCGATCGTGGGGCGGGTTGTACAGTTTTAAAACAATCTCCGCATGCTACTGGACAACGACGTACTCACCGCAACGAATGTCGGTAAACAAAGCAAGAATTTGGTCTAGTTCACTAAACTAGCAGTTAGTCGCTTTATCTGATCAACTCTTCCAGAGACTGAAGTGAAGACATTTTTACTAAAAAGCCTCCAATATTCACCTCACACATCAGAACAACAACAAGCTAACTCTGCTAGCAGCTTCGTGTTCTTCTTCTTCTGTACAACCAACGTAAATATGCACTACCGCCACCTAGTGGACATGTGTCTGGAGGATTAGCAACACAACCTGTGTGTTCAGTGTGTGACTAATGAACAACACATAACTAGTGATAACTTCCCCAGGCAGTTACTTAAAATAAACACCAGTTTTTCCCCTCTATTATATTGCTTTTATTTTGAGCGGTTTGTTTAAAAGCCCCGTAAAGAAAGGGGAAACTTATTTTTTATGAAGTTCCATTATCTAAATCTGACCAATTCTCTTTTTCACTTGACTTTATGACCTCTTTACAGTTTCAAGTTGCTATAGATAACATTTCCTTTACACAAGTGTAAAATTATTGCATCAGAAGAAAAATACATATAATTTAGTCGACTAAAATAGCTTTGTAAGTAAATATTAGTGAGAAATTTTTATTTATATAGCACTCAGATAGAAAATTACAAAGTGCTTCACATAGATCAAAATAAAACAAATAAAGTCATAAAATCATAATGATCTGAAAACAGAAATAAAGTTAAATCAGAAAAACAAAGTCAGAGACTTATAAAACAAATGAGATGATAACAAATTTGAGTTAAAAATAACATAAAAAAGGATTTATTTTAAAAGCAGCTTTAAATAATAAGGTCTTCAGCTGTTTTTTAAATGTGTCTTGACTGTCATTACCACATAATGATAAAGGAAGATCGTTCCAAAGTCGGGGTCTGGAAGGAGTGATCACCTCGACTTTTATGTCCGGTCATTGGAACTTCTAGAAGGTTCTTGTTAGTGTACCTGAGGGCTCAGGTTGGAGTATAAGGCCTTAATAGTAATATAGGGAGGAGTTTGACCATGTAGAGCAGGGGTCGGCAACCTTTTCCCATCAAAGAGCCATTATTACCTGTTTCCCACAGTAAAGAAAAGACTGGGAGCCACAGCAGCCTCGACGTTGTAGGTGGAGCCTACTCTGGGGCCCTGTCCACACGTAGCCGGGGATCTGCCAAAACGTAGATATTTTTCTACGTTTTGGCCTGTCATCCACACGAAAACTGAGTTTTTTCACACGAAAACGGATCTTTTTAAAAACTCCGGCCAATGTGAAGATCTGCGTTTTCTCCGTTTTGGGTGTCTGCGTGTGGACAGACAAAACCGGAGTTTTAAGGACCGCAACGTCACTTTCCGCAACAAAAAAATGCTGACATCACGTGTGCGACCTGTGTTTACACTAGCCGACAGCATGGATGCCCTCGGAGCTGCGCTCGCTTTATCAATTGTCCAAGCGCTTTTTGCTTGTTTGGTTTTGCAAGCGGAATTACTGCTCCTTGCGGAAGACCACAGACGAAGGACGAGGTTAAGAACGGAGGAAGTACTGCCGCCTACAGGTCTGGCATGTCCTTAACAACGTATTTATCCGGGTACGTGTGGACAGAGTTTTCTTTTAAAACGAGGTGGTGTGGATGCAAGTTTTTGGAGGGGCGGATATTCGTTTAAAAAAAACTCCGGCTACGTGTGGACTAGGCCTAAGACAGCCGAGAGCTGCTTTAACCAGTATAAGCAGTCACCATACAGGTGACGGCAACCAATACCATTTGCTCATGTACCTCAAAGTTATCTTTCAACAGAAGATAATTAATAAAACAGTTTGTATAAAATTGATCCAGAAGTCGTCGCCCGTCTGTGTCCACAATATTTAGATATTTAGTGATTTTAATAGTTGAGCAGGTGCTGCTTTTGGACGCGTCTCTTTTTAAAACATGTTTAAACTGTTCAGAATACAAATCCAGACTCTGTCTTGTTGGATTGTTGTAATTAAACTTTGTGCTGAACAAAACTTTACACTAAACAATGTTGAAAAGGTAAGAAAAGGATCAGATCTATTTGTTTTTCCCTTCATTAACAGTGATGGAGATATCGGTGCAGAGCACACGGCTCTTGTCTTATCCATCCATACATCCATTGTCTGAACCCGCTTTGTCCACGTAGGGTCGCAGGGGACTGTGGTCAAGTGAGCCGTCATTCGTTTGTCCGTGGTCGAGTGAGCCGCACCTACAACTGAAGTGCGCATTTACATAGTACTTTACGGTAACACCGGCTCGCCTCTGGAGAAGAGCTGAGATGAGTGACAGAATGGGCTGAAATCAGGATGACCGAACTGCTAAATGTGCCTTTTTTGGGCCATTCCCATCTGTACCTAGTCGGCCCGGGCCGGGTAGCCCCAGTCGGCCCCAGCCTAGCCCGGTTGATTCCACACATCCTTGCCTTAAATCCATGTGGGCTGATTCTACCCACCAATCAGAGGCTTGCTCTAATGGAAGGTGTGAATTTGCTGTCAGCAGTGGGTGTGTTGGCCCTGGTCAGCCTGAAGCAGACCCCCTCGAGAAGAGGGCTGAGAATGAGCCTTGGTTGGCCCGGAAAAATACCAGGCCACCTAGATATGTAAACAACCTACGCTACCCGGCCCGGGCCGACCCCGTACAGATGGGAATGGCCCATTAGATACACACATACTAAGTACCTCGAGTACTATCTGGTACCAAAGTATGAACTACTTTTACTGTGTACTTTTTAAGTAATTGTCCTTCAAAATACGTACAAAAAGCTAACGTGCCGTGTTTGAGATAGGATAAAATGAGATTTGTGAAAAGGGACACTAGGCCACCTACACATGCATATTACGTACCAGTTTGGAGCAGAATCAGAAAGTAGTGAGGCGATTGTCACATGACCGTTTTGAACCAATGCGGTGCACGCATTTAGTAAACACATTCCAACATGGCGGACACCTTGGATTCGGAAAGTTGCAGCGAGGACCAAGAAAAATCTTCGGAAAATCCAACAAAAATGAGCAAATATGGACGAAAATTGTGCTACATGCATATTGCATCCGTGAAGCATGAGCAGGTACGGGATTTTACATTTACACGATGGAATAGTTACAGAGAATCCATCACAATGTGGCTTCGATTGCATGCTGAGAGTCGAGCGTTAGCAGAAGTGTATCACCGTTACCGTGATACGGAATTTCGGAATATTCCAGACAATGCTGCCTTTCATCCCACCTGCTACAGACGTTTTATTGATAACAGATGCATGGAGCAAGCTGGGAAACGTATTGCAGGTGAGGAGACGACGACATCAGAAAACAGAGAAACACGTGGATGTGCTGCAGGGTGTACCCAGCAGCACGTAAGAAACTCCAAAGAAAAAACTCAGGTCGAGATCAGGTCTGCCAATTGCTACTGCTGGTCCTGTGCTTCCAGCCCTGTGCATAATCTACAAAAAAGTTGAGAAGTACGTAATTGTTCGTGGAAAACGCCAGAGAGCACATCTGGTTCAGGCTGAAACATCTTCTGCTGGTAGGTAACTCACTCTCACACACACAGAGAAATGTAAATGTGAGAACATAGTGGCACTCATCATTTTCCTGCACTAACTGAATTTTTGTTTATAAATTGAAGGCCAGTTGCTGAAAGCTGCTGAGATCAAGCGAGATGAAAGCATTCTGTTACACATCAAAGACAAAGATTGTGTGTCTCTGCAGGTTCGGTACCACAAATGCTGCTAGACAGTACACCATCTTCCTGTCTAGATCCACATCTGTAAGTTTTGTATTAAAATGATTGTTGTTGCTGTTTTTGTTATTGCATTTGTATTCATAATTTCCCTTGATGTATTTCATCAAGCAATTTAAGTATTTGACTGTATCTGACTACTGTTGAAAGTAGAGCCCTGCACGGGCCTAAAATCTGAGCCCGTGTCTGGCCCGGCCCGAGGGGGTGGCGCCCCAGCCCGACCCGGCCCAAAAAGGTTTTCAGGATTCTCTGGCCCGACCAGAGTCTGAGCCTGACTTTTTTTAAACCAACTAAATGAAAATAAAGTGCGTCAATCCTGACCAATGTGTTAAAAGACGTGCAGGATCCGATCAATTTGTTTTTCCCTCGTTTACCGTCACGGAGATGACGGCGCACTGGCTCTGGTGTTAATCAAGTTAAATTTGATCTCTTTCCAACAATTTTCACAAGAAAACAAAACAGTCAAAAGGAGGGCTTGTGTTGACCGGATAGTTCCCGTATTTGACCGTTTATTTTGACGGAGAAAGAATAGAAAGAATTACCCCGACGCAAGCAGACGAAGACATTTTATTCGTTATTATGTAGCAAAAAGATTCCCATCTGAACATCTGAGCTGCTCAGCGCATATGTGCACAGCGAGCTGAAGTTGTGGAGAATGGCTTGGAGTGCGTTGCAGAACCAGAGCGCATGCGGGAAGATTCCTCCCACTGAAGCGAGTGTTTTCCAAACCCTGTCTCTCAGAGAGACTTGTCACTTAGAAAATGTTCCCTGATTATGAAACTTTGGCTGAATAGCGCTTGTTCCTGTCTCCAATGTGGCGACACATCCAGGAGCTGTCTGAGGAGAAGCCCAGAATCTGACATCTTCAGCTCAGAAAGCGCCTATGATTACGTACAAGTGTGACCCATCAACCCGGTCTCGCAGTAAGACTGGGTTGGACCTGTTCAGGTTTACGCAGACAATCTTTACATAGAATTGACTTACAGATATAAAATTTATTCAGTAAAATATAAAGCATTTTATTTAAATATCCATTCACAATTTTACAAGCACAGAGAGCCGCATCAGATGGATGGAAGAGCCGCGGGTTGCGACATGTTTTCTCCAGGACCAGAGAGGACGCAAACTCAATACATCTCTTTTATTGTGAGGTAATAATTTCTGAGTTTTGCAGTTGCGGGCGGGAGTAGACATGCACGCTGCAGGTGCGGGCGGGAGTGTAACACACACGTTGCGGTTGCAGGCGGTA